GGGTGGATGTAGTCCACTCCCAATAATAGAGGAGGAGGCGTCAATTCCAGGAGAGGAAAAGCTGCTTCTGTAATGAGCCAGCCACTCCCAGTCCCTATTCAAGCCCAGATAATTTAACACCATTAATCTGACACAATCCATCAGAGATGTGGTTAAGAATTGTCCAAGTGAACTGTTGCTTTTCCATTTAGCATTTCAAATACTTGGCTAAGACATGCAGCAACTCTACCTCTGCTGTGAGAGGGGACTTCACTGAGAAGAAGTGACTCAGCTGCTCTGCACCAAAGCTGAGTCGCTTCAGGACCTTGTATTCTAGGCATGTGCGTTTTCTTTCCCTTCCTGGCAATGCAGCCCAGGTAGCGTTTAATATTTCTGTGTACTTTTTAAAAGACCTTTTAAATATTAAAGAGAATTTCATTTTTCAGCTGGAAAATTAAAACGTAGATGCATTTCATCCGATTCCTTTTCCCTCCGCCCCCCAAGTCCTGAAGCAATTCTGAAATGTTAACTAAAGAAATCTAACTGCCCTGGAGCATTTTCATAACATCAAACATTCCATGAAAATATTTTCCCGAAACCCTTGAGCATTTCCAAATATTAAATGTGAAGAGAGACAGCTTTTCCTCAGCTTTGGTACGGCTCTAAAACAGCCAATGTTAAGTTCAGGGTTTTTAAAACAAAAATACAGTGATACAAACAATACACTTGTTGGGAGACAGAGCTCTTTATGTGCTGTTCCATTAATTGCACACTGTATGGTAGGAGTAGGGATTATGAGCAGAGATGGGCTCGAGCCACAAAATCCCGCAATTACAGGGCTGTTCATGTTCAAACGTGGAGTTTTTGGTTCAGCCTATAATAGAATTACATTGTTATTTAGATAGGGGGTCCAATTTCCCCGTAGTTGTGGCAGGTGGGGAACCTGAGGAAGGGCTGCTCTGTGATTCTGTTCAGACCCATCTCTAGATATAAGATAAATTGACTTCTCTCTTATATATCTCCCGCTTCTACTGTGAGTCTCTGCTCAATCCCTCAGCAAGTGCTCTGATGTCCACTAATGTTGGTTCAGCATTTTTATTTATTTATTTGGATCAGGAGACCTCAAATGAAGAGATCTGGCAGTCAGCTCTAGATTAAGTACTAGGCACAATAAATTCATCCTATTCTCACACAGTGCAGGCAAGAAGATATGAGCACCATCATTACCAGGAGGCGTTGGAGTTGGATTGGCCATGTGCTTCGGATGGAAACTGATTCCATCACCAGAATAGCAATAAGATGGACACCTGAAGGCAAGCAAAAATGAGGCCACCTGAAAACAACATAGCGAAGAACTGTGGAAACTGAGCTGAAAAACCTGGAGCACAGCTGGGAAACCATTGAAAGACTTGCCAGAAACAGACAGGAGTGGAGGAGCTTCATCACTGCCCTAAATGCCAGAGGCATAATGGGAACATGATGATGACAGGGCCCTCATCTGTGGGATCCTGTGATGTCAGGAGTGCCTACCACAAACAGAGACCTCTGCTAGGGCATCAGGAAGAGCCCCTTCACACAGGGCTCTCTGTGGGGATGGTGGAGAGAGTGGTGGTGATGGGAGACCACACACAGAGTCCTTTGTAAATGGGGGGGGGGAGGAGCTGAGTCCTCCCTTCTCCTGGACAGACCCCAGATTGCCTGAAAACAGGGAGTGGTGGACTGGGAGCACCGAGGCCTCAGA